TTTTTTTTTTTTTTTTTTGTGTCGTTGTGGTTTCGGTGTTGGGATGAGCGGTGGCTGGGGGTGTGTGTACTTGCGCCTGTTACGATGGTCAGATGTTTGTGCCTGGGTGCGAGAGAGATGTGTTTGGTGTGTGGGTGCAGCAGATCTGGGTTTGGTGGAGGTGCGGCGGTCTTGGGAGGAGCATAACTGATTGGGTGCTGTGCGGGACATGTCCAACGATAGTAGTCCATGATACCAAACAAATCTCTGGCGTTCACAGTTTTACCCGCTTTAACAAAACCAGAAGAACGAACATCTTTCAGGTATTTTATCAAACAGCTCTCTCCCACTCGCATACTTACCAACCATTCTCTTCCATAATTCTATTGTCTCTTCACACATACCATCGAAAATCTTCCTAGCATCATCTAAACTACCTATATGAATACTGGAATAGATAATGCATCAATAATGATAACAGATGATGACATTATGTTGTGATACAAAAGAAGAATGTTAATTTTCAAAACCATATAACAACAACATGTGATTCAATATTTGCACTTAAACTACACATCAAAGAGACAACAATGCAAACCGAAAACTTCTCCTGAGTGGCTCATCAACTGAATAAATTTCCCAAAAAAATCATCATAAATAGAAAGAGAGAGAAATTAAGAAAAGAGTTTGTAAAATAAATATCAATAAGAGCATACCTTCCTCTAATGCTTCAAATTGATTAATGGCTTCTTTTGGAACGACACTCATTTCTTCTTCTTCTCAACATAACGTAAATTTTGATGTTGCAATCACAGTAACACAACTTAGTTGGCATGAAAATGGAAAAGAAAACAGGCACGAAAGAAGGAAGTGAAAGAAAGAAGCATGGTTGATCGATGAATGATGGGAACGGTATGGAAATGAGGAGTAGGTGATGAGGAATGGATGGTTACGTGGAAAAGTGGAGAACGACAGCTCAAGAAAATTGACTAATTTCAGTTTTTTTTTTTAAAGGGTGATTTTTGACAACGACGATTGGTTACGTGGAAAAGTGGAGGACGACAGCGCAAGAAAATTGACTAATTTCAGTGTTTTTTTTAAAAGGGTGATTTTTGACATCGACGAAAAATCGCGACACGTGTAAGATTTGTTTAGCCTTTTTTAATTTATAGTGAAAAATACACTCATGTGAATTTTTTGAGGATCAAATTGTCAATAAACCAAATTCTAAAACACCCTTCTCATGGTCTCCCACCCTCACTCCCGTCCAAAACCCAGCCAGATAAGGAACTGAACCTCGTTCCTCATTTCAATAGAAAGAGAAATCCCCATTCACCTTCTGAACAATTTATTCCCTCTGAAAATTGGCTGCAAAAATGGCAAACCTAAGAACAGCAATGGATGCTGCATTTTGGGACCTAAACATATCAACCCCACAAGCTCTTGATGGCATTTCCAGAGCAGTGCCTGGGGAGCCCATACCATTGGATGGTACCAGGGCTAGTAAAGCCCTAAGAATCCAACAGCTCTCTTTACTTGGAAATGGGTTTCCTCTGGGGATTATTCCTTCTTATTCCCCCTCCGCCAATCATAAAGAATTGGGATCTTTTGCCCTCCAGTCTCTTCTGGGCAAGGCTGCCTTCCGCGACTGGTAAAACTCTTAAAACAAAGCACATTTTCATATTTTTCTAGTGCATATATGTCTAAATATCAGTTATAATATTGTAAGTGTTTTTCTGGATATTGGGCTCAGGGAAAAACTGTTAACAAAGATTAGAGATTAGTATAATTGTACATCCCTGTCATGTGTCCCAATGTGCCGGTGTGGAGGGGTTGGAGCTGCAACTTTTATAGCTAAATTGTGGAATTGAGCTTTCTATATGTAGATTGCGAGGAAGTAAAAAATGTATATGCATTTGTCATCATCTTTAATCAAGCTCTTTAGTTTTGAGTTCTTCTCTAATGTGCATTTGTCATCATCTTTGGTGCTTTCATTTGTTGTCAGGACATACTGGAACATTACAACGGTGTATGTAAAAATTTCTTACTGACATCTTTGTGCATATATTTGTGTGCGTGTATATATAAGTAAAGATATTCAAAAAATGATAACCATAAGCCTAATTTTTATATGGTTCAGTGAATTAGAAGGGTCTTCACATACATTTTTATGAGACGATGTTATATGGTGATACCTACATATTTTTGTTCCAGTAGAGATACATATGTACATATGAAAAGTTTTATCTGGTCATGTACTTATATATTATGTTCGTGTTTTACGACATCTTATGTTTCTATTATGAACTTCGATGGACAACAGAGCGTTATGAAGATAAACTGATATTTTGGTCCTGGAGGATGTTAGGATTCTTGTACCGAAGTTTATTGATCATTCAAGATTGTTATTCTTGACATCACTCTTTGATTCCTCAAATTCGAACTTTTTACCCTGCAGTACATGCTGTCCGAGACATCATAACTTTTTGACTTATTGAAGATAAAATCCCATAGTTCTTTCATGGAAAACATGTCTTTGTTGTTTATTTCCCTAGTTATGCAACTAATGCACACAGAAGCTTTTGTTAAATCTATTACTGCTTCAATTCTACATTATATAGTATTTTTCGTTTTATGACATTACAAAAGGTCTTCATAAAGAGATTTTTCCTCATATTTGTTGAATCTTTCCAGATGTCAATATCCCCTGGGCAAAGGCACCCTCTGAGCAATTTTCTGGGGTTCCTTTGTTACATAAACCTTTGCTAAAACATATTTTATCTCTTTATTTTCCAAATTTTTTTGAATTACAAACTGTCATGTATATATTAGTTAGATATCTGCTATAATTTTTCCTATACTAATATTTTTTGCTCAGTTATGTTAAAAAATAAATGCATCTCACCTTCCATTTGTATAAATAAAAGTAAATGTACTAATCTATGAGTTTGGTGGCCTTTCATTGTGTAGGTGGCTTGGATTAATTGGACAATTTCGTCCAAAGAAGTTAATATCTTCTATTAGTGCAGAGATACGTGGTGCAGATGAATGGGAGCTGCCTTTGGTTAAAGACGTAGCAAAACATTTCCTAGACAAATCACTTTATGCACTTGGCCTATGCTCACAAATATCGTTAACATCGTCATCATCCTTACTGTTGAGCACTGAAAAGCATGGTGAGAGGAAGGGCCGCCGCACCAGAGCCATGCTCCTACACAAGGCAAGATCTTGACTGCTAATTTCTTCTACTCATATTATAATGGGGGGAATCAAATCCAAACTTTTGAAGGAACCTTATCTTGAAAAAGATATTAAAACTAATCACAAGTGAACAAACACAAACATAGTGGCAAAACTAAGACTTGCTGTTGCTTTCAAGTATGAAAGCATTCAACAACTATTGTCATTAAACTAGTCTTATTACTTTCCCTTCCTTCAGAGTTGATTCTTATGAGAAGAATATAAATACATTTCGGTGCATTCTTTTCCTATGAACTTAGCATTCAGTTGCTGTTGTCACTGTGAAAGGTAAAAATGTAAGCATTTATGCTTCTCCCATTTTCGTGAGTACAGGAGCTTGTTTTGTGATCTACTTAAAAATACAAAACGTTCCTGAAAGCTTTTAATTTTGCCCTAAACCTTCTTTTTTTTTCTTTATTTGCAGCTTCCTGATCATGATATTACTTTGGAAGCTGCATTGCCTGAGTTGTTCATAGACCATAGAGGAAAATATTGGGAAGTTCCCGAATCTGTATCCTTAGATTTGTCATCCCTTGTTTCTGAGTCTGGATTGCGATATCGTTTTGGCATCCATAGAAATAGTGGTCCTCCTCACGCTGTTGATTCCTCAGATAGCAATACACCGCTTACATTAATGCCTGGTGTGTGTGTCAAAGCTGCCTTCTCTTATGAAAAGAACAAAGATTTGTGGAGGCAAAAGGAAAAAAAAGAGGATATCATTATCGAGACAGACCAAGGCCGATTTTTGCGACCTTCATATGATATTCGTCTTAGAGAGCCTCATGCAGCCGTATCTGGAATTATAGGTAATTTGGATGTTTCTCAGAATTCTCTTATTGGTAATTCTATCTTTTTTTGCACGTGTTTTATATTTAATCTCTCAGTATGAATCAATTTAGCCCCTATTCGACAACCATTTGTACTAAACACTTTTTTTCTCAAATTTATTTTCAACCACACATTCTCACACTAAAATATTTTGCATGTAAACCGAAATTTTTTTCCTACTTTTTCATTCTCCAAAAAATCACTATTCCAAAACTCATTTTCTCCAAAAAAACTCTTTATAATGGTTGTCAAACATTTGCTTATTTCGCTTTGTATGTTGAATTTGCAAGATTTCATGTCCAACGCTGCTGAATTTTTATCTTGGCTTCTAACATCGGGATTATTACGTTGCTTTTTGTGGATGCTCTTTTTATCTGCATCATCCTTTAGTTTAGATATTTTTGGGGAATGGCCTGTGATCTACTTGTATAAATTGGGTAAAACAACAATTGATCAATGTTGAGAAGACGCTGGGGTTTTCACGTGAGCTGTGTCAATAGTAGATGAATTTTGAGCCTGTTTATACTTTCCTTAGGATATTTGAAATGATCCTACACGGGCTTCTGAATTTTCACAAAATTATTTCCTAGATGCGCCCTTGGATTATTGTTGTAAGAATATATATATATTTTTGCTCAAAGTTCAATTATCTGAAACTATAAGGCTTTTTCGAATGGTGATGATTGAATATCCTGCAGGTATCTTTTATCTATTGTTTGTTTGGATTGTAATTTGTGGGCACACATTTTCCTTACTGCCTGGTTGTCTTGTGATGATTTTTTCTACTTTTATCATGCTATATTTTGTTGCCCCTTTTACAAATCTAGGGGGTACTTGTGCGGCATGGTTTGGAGGTGGAAACAATTTGCCCGCTGTTGAGTCAATGGAAGGCGCAGATAGCATTTCTTCGGGTGCTAAGAGTAGAAGTCGTTTTGGGGTCGATTTATTTGGCTCAGCTTGCTATACTTATCAACATGGAAAATTCAGAGAGCTGTTTGGAGACCTCACCAGGATAGATGCTCGCCTGGATATTTCTTCAGCTTCAACTTTAGCCAAAAAAGTTTCCAACCTTTTCCGCAGTGCATCAAATAATGGTGCACCAAATTTACTGTCTACTGTTGGACTTAACTTGATATTTCAGCAGCAGGTGAGCAATATTTTTCTACATTCTTCTATTATAACATTTTTATGCCCATAAGGCTATTAGAAACTCGTATTAGAGAGTTGGTACTGTTTTTCAGTTCTATCAATCGAATGGGGAGCAGATTGTTTTTCCTTTACTTCTACTTTGAAGGTTAAAACTAGACAATGTCTGCTGAAGTACTAGCCGTCTAGCCAACACCAATGTAAAATAGATGATGCTGTACCCTCTGGGATAAAATAATTCACGGGTTGTTTATAATTTTGCAGGTTGCTGGCCCCATTGTTTTTCGAGTAGATTCCAAGTTTTCGCTCGATTCATCATCCGGGAGGCATGGCCCACAACTGGAAGATCTGGTATACAGCTTGAATTACTCTTTAAGGCTCCTACGGTCTGGGAAGGTAATGGCATGGTATTCTCCGAAGAGGAAAGAAGGGATGATTGAGCTACGACTGTTTGAATTTTAACTCTTGCCTCTAAATCTTTACATAGTTTAGGGCAGTTTTAGTTTTTAAACACCACTCGTGTCTACTGTCTCATGGTGGGAAACTTATTCTGGCTAGTGTCTCACTTCAATTTGCATTTGGATAATTCAACAATGCTGTGTTAAGATGGCATTTAGATATACCTTGAACTCTGTTTTTTTTTGGGCAACCTTTTGAGGGAAATGCAAAGTTCCACATACTTTGGGCGGTGGTCGATATTTACATACATGTTTCGATCGTGGTTTATTTTTCATTTGCAATTTACAAAATCTCTCAACATTATCATTCAACATAAAAGTTGTGGTAGTTGCTGTTTAAAATTGAGCATATCCAACATGCTTTGACAACTCTGTATTAAGACACTTTATTGTACACGTCTCTGTAGAGATAAATAATTTAGGAAAATTTCCTTTTTATTATCAACTATAAGCATATTTGAATTTAACTGAAATGATTGTGGTGGACATAAGGTTGCATTCTTGAAGTCTAGGTTATATCGAGATTATTAGAAATAGGATACGTTTTTTTTTAACTAACACAATATCCAAGTTTCGATAAGATGGAACAACTCGGCGTAATTCCTCAAATTTAGTTTAATTTGATGCGTCCAAATTATGTTCAAACATAATCGAAAAATATTTATTCATTTTTATCCTCAACTATCAAATCGACAATGCTTGGATAGTTGGATTGGACGTTATGCATAAAATAGTGAAGAGATCCAATAATTTCGACTCGTCGTTTATTTTTTATTACGGTGAAGGAGATTATTTTTTGTAATATTGTACTATGAATTTGAAATGAGCACAAATATTTAGATGAGTGAAAATGCAAGTAAGTTAAATAATAAATTGGCTCAAGCTCGATAATGTTATTGAGCAGCAAAGGCAGTATAAATATGTACATGAGGAAGATTCTAGATGATACAATGATTGGTTCCTAAATAAGAGGAAGCTGTTGGAATATGTTACAACAAATTAGTAGTGCCAGCACCATAGTAAATGACTAAAAACGTGAAGGCTGGTATGGACCACTGCTGATGTGGAAATGAGTGGTTGAGCTTGAGAATGGTTTATCAAATTAAATCTCAACACCCGTTTTCAAGCTGGAGGGCAATGGAATGACTCCAAGCTTGTCTTTCAGGAAGAGGAACCTAGAATGGGAGAGTCCTTTTGTTAACAAGTCCGCAATTTGATCTGAAGATGGAACATACTTTACTTCCAATTCCTTTTTTAGCACCTTATCTCGGATGAAGTGGACGTCTAATTCAATATGTTTTGTCCTGGCATGGTACACAGGATTGGCCGCCAAAGCTCCTGCACTCATGTTGTCACACCAAAGGATTGGGGTTGGTTCAAGAGGCAATTCCAGCTCCTTGAAGAGTGATTGAATCCAAGTGATTTCGGAGGCTGCGGATGCAAGGGCTCTGTACTCCGATTCGGTACTTGACCTAGCAACTACATGTTGCTTCTTTGATTGTCATGCCACCAGGTTCTCTCCCAAATAAATGCAATATCCAGCAGTTGACCTCCTGTCATCTGGGCAGGAAGCCCAGTCGGCATCTGAGTATCCGCTTATCTCCATTCTATCATTTTTTTGTATCCAGAGCCCCTGATTAATTGTGCCTTTAAGATACCTAAGTATCCTTTTTAGTGCTTGCCAGTGAATTGAGGTAGGAGATTGCAAAAATTGGCTCAATTTATTTACCGCAAAGGTGATATCAGGTCTGGTATGAGTTAGGTACTGTAACCCTCCTACAGCACTTCGATAGACAGAAGGATTTTTCAGAGGTTCACCATCATTTTTAGACATCGTTTTGCCTGCAAGAATGAAAGTTGGACATGGTTTCAGGTTTTCAAGTTCAAATTTCTCGAGTAGTTCACCAATGTATCTTGTTTGAGTGAGATGAATTCCTAGTTCATGCCAATGTACTTCAATTCCCAGGAAGTGGTGAAGCTGCCCCATATCTTTGAGTGCAAAATTTTTGTTCAGTTCATTTATGAATCTCTGCATCAGCTTTGAATTGTTACCTGTTACCACAATGTCATCAACATAAATGAGTGCAAAGATAATTAGGCTTTCAGTTTTGAGATAGAACAATTTCATTTATGAATCTCTGCATCAGCTTTGAATTGTTACCTGTTACCACAATGTCATCAACATAAATGAGTGCAAAGATACTTTGGCTTTTAGTTTTGAGAGAGAACAATGATGTGTCTGCAATTGATTGCTTGAAGCTCCAGTTCAATAGGGTCGATTTAAGCTTATCATACCAGGCCCTTGGTGCCTGTTTCAGCCCATAGAGTGCTTTCTCTAGCTTACAGATATGACCAGGTTTTGATTTATCTTCAAAACCCTCAGGTTGATTCATGTAGACAACCTCTTCAAGCTCACCGTTTAGGAAAGCATTATTTATATCAACCTGTCTGATTTTCCATCCCTTTGATATTGCCATGGAGAGTATAACTCGCAGGGTTGAGGATTTGATCACTGGACTGAAAGTTTCTAGAAAATCTATGCCAGGTTCTTGATGGAAACCAAAACGATGATCGGAACGAAAGTTGCTCTGAACAGAACCATCCGAGTTCCTTTTTACTCTGAAGACCCACCTATTTCCCACTATGTTGTAATTTGATGAGAAGGGAACAAGCTTCCAGGTGTTTGTTTTCATTAAAGCATTGAACTCTTCTTCCATAGCATTCTTCCACTCTTTACTTTTCATAGCTTCACTGACATTTTTGGGTTCAGGTATTTCAGAGGTAACTTCAGATGATTTTCCCTGAAAAACCTTTGGTTTGAATACTCCTGCTTTTCCCCTTGTAATCATAGGATGGTCTATCAGATGTTTTGCCTGTTACTGAAGTTCTGATTGTTGCTGGTTAGCAGTGAAGTTTGTTTCAGCTTCTTCAGAGTTCTGAGGTTGTTCAGTTGCAACATTTTGATTTAATTCTTGGCTTACCATATCTCTAATCAAATCAAGAAGTTCATTACCTTCATCATACTCTCCTTCAGATTGATTGTTATGTGGGCTAAGAGGAGTGTGATGTGCTGCATTGATTGCCTTAGGAAGGGCTGCATCAGCAGGACTTGTTATAGGTTGAGTGTTATGTGATTGAGATGGAAATTGAAAATAAGATACAATGGTTTCTGAAGCGGTAGAAGTTTGTTGGTTTTGATTTGAAAACATAGACTCGAAAGGGAATTCGAGTTCATTGAAAACCACATGCCTGGAGATATAGATTTTTCCAGTTGAAGTCAGACATTTGTACCCTTTATGAGACTCACTATAGCCAATGAAAACACACTTAACTGAATGAAAGCTGAACTTATGTTTTTGATAGGGCCTAAGACAAGGATAGCAAGTGCAGCCAAAAAGTTTCAGAAACTTGAAGTCAGTTTCTTTTCCATAAAGAGTAAGAAACGGTGATTTATTCTCAAGAACAGGAGTTGGCAGTCTATTGATAAGATAAGTGGCAGCTTGAAAAGACTCCCACTAGTATTTTAATGGTATTTTTGCTTGTGCTAGAAGTGTGAGGCCTGTTTCTGTGATGTGTCTGTGTTTCCTTTCGATCCTACCATTTTGAGCTGAAGTGAGTGGACAAGGATGTCTGAATTCAACACCTTCTTGTGCAAGGAATTTGGTAAAAGCTCTATACTCTCCTCCCCAATCGGATTGAAGAATTTTGATTTTCTTCCCAAGCTTATTTTCAACTAATTTTTTATATTGAATGAATACCCCCAGAGCATCAGATTTTTGCTTAAGAGGGTAGATCCAAGAATACCTACTGAAATCGTCTAGAAATGTTATGTAATATCTGAAGCCACAAGTTGATGGGATTGGTGCTGGTCCCCATAGGTCTGTATGTACAAGTTCGAGAGGTATTTTTGCGTGTGAAGTTGAAAGAGGAAAAGGCAGAAGGTGGGATTTCCCAAACTGACAAGCATCACAGAAGGAAATACTTTCATTTGTCTTTAAAGTTTGATTACAGAGTTTGAGGACCTGAGACATCACTTGGCTAGAAGGATGTCCAAGCCTCTTATGCCATACATTAGCTTTGAAATCTAAAGATTTCTGACTTGACTTTAGACTAGGATTGGAAGATGTGGCACTGCAGCAGTAGTTATATAGTAGACTGAAGATTGATGGTGAGTTTTGGTGTTTTGTTGAGGCAAGTCAAGCTGATATAGTCCTTCCTTAAGCGTCCCTTGCAGCATCACTTCCCTCATTAGCTGATCCTTAACAAAATAGTGATTAGAGTAGAATTCCATATATACTTTATTATCAGAAGTCAACTGAGAGACACTAATTAAGTTTTTCTTGATTTCAGGTACAAGAAGCATATTGTTTAAAACAAGAGTTCTGTCATTCATAGTTGGGAGATGACTATTACCAAAGTGTGAGATCTGGAGTTTGTTTCCATTTCCAACCATTATTGTTTCCTTACCAGTGTATTCATTTGGTGAAGTGAGATTCTGTTTATCTGAAGTAATGTGGCTGCTGGCTCCAGTATCAGCAAACCAAGCTGGATCGTTCAGTGTGTTGGGAGTTGCAACATAGACTGCTGGTGAAGATGAAGGATTATAAGTTGATCTGTAGTTTGGTGATGCACCTGTGTATCTTTCATCGAACCTGCAGTTGCATATATTAGCGTTATGACCAGCTTTTCCACATACTTGGCATATGGGTCGATCACTGCCAGGCCTGTCACTACCACAGAAGGCTGCTCCTCTGTTTCTCATTCTTCTTGCTCCTCTGAAACTACTGTAACCAGAGAATCTTCCATTTAAGTGTGGTCTACTAGATCTGAAATGGTGATAATTAGAACTAGATCTCTGGGAAAAATTTGCTGAGGCATGATGGTCAAGGCTGATTCCTGATTACTACCATTTCATTTCTGACTGAGTTGAGATGCTCCAACCTCCTTTCAAAGGTCATCAATGTAGTACTAGATCTGAAATGGTGATAATTAGAACTAGATCTCTGGGATAAATTTGCTGAGGCATGATGGTCTAGGCGGATTCCTGATTCCTGCCATTTCATTTCTGACTGAGTTGAGATGTTCCAACCTACTTTCAAAGGTCATCAATGTAGACTGCAATTCACCCCAAGTAATGTTATCTCTACTATTGATCTGAACAACAATTGGAGTGTAATCTTCATCCAAGCCTGTAAGGACTTGAGTTACGAGATCAGAGTGAGGAATAGCTTTTCCTGCGATTTCCAGATTATCTGCTAATAGTTTTACTTTATTGAGGTATTGATCTATGCTCATAGCCCCTTTTCTTGATTTTTGAAGTTCACCGGTGAGGAAGGTTATCCTGGATCTGTTCTGAACTCCATAACTTTCCTTGATTGCCGTCCATAGCTCGTTAGAGGTTTTTGCTCCCATAACCCTCATGGTTATATCCGGAGTTATGGAGGAGTAAAGCCAGCCCATCAGCAGCTGGTCTGTTGATCTCCATTGGATATGTTCTGAATTTTTAGTCATTTCGATGCTGGCTCCCATTTCACCAGCAACCTGAACTCCAATAAATTCTGGTGGGCACAGCTTTGTCCCCAGAATATATCCCTCAAGATCATGTCCCCTGATTATAGGGAGTATCATATTTTGCCAAAGAAGGAAATTGTTTTTATCGAGCTTAACT